TGTCTCCCCCTCCCCACCCCACCCCATAACTTGGTTTGTGCCCAGAATTCCCAAGAATTTCTCCTAGGAGTCTCTCTTCAATACTCAAGTTAAATGGCGGAAAAAGAAACTGCTTTTCTTTCACCACAGAAGCTCGAGTCTGTGCAAACCAAAGTGAAAACACAAAACACCTGCATCCGTGACGAAACGTGTGCAAGATGTGGCTGGAAGGATTGTCAGTGCCGGGGTGGTTTATTCAGCGAGCAAATGCACCGAGGATGGGCTGGAAAGCTCCCCACGGCCATGATCCTAGGCACACTTTCCTGGGAGTAAGCTGCACTGAACATCCTACTCTTCACATGGATGATGTGAAGAGCCATGATCTCCCATTAACCCTGTTATCTCCCACATTTTATTTATTATTTTATTTATTTATTAAAACATTTTTATGCCGCCCCATTCGCCAAAGCCTCGGGGCGGCTCACAATAATAAGTTAAAAATAATGATAACATTACATTAAAAAATATAAACATTAAGTTAAAAATACAAAAATACCAATATAAAATAAGCCGCCCTGGCCAGATAAAATCCATTAATATTAACAATTAAAATGCCGCTTAAATAAAAAGGTTAGACTGATGAATTTGATCTCTTTTTTTCTAAAGGAGAAACTTTGCTGCACTTGTCTCTGTTCAATTTCAATCTTTTTCGTTTTTGCCCAGATTTATTTATTTAGCCATTACATTTATATCCAGCCGTTTTTCCTTCCAAGGTATTCAAGGTGACTTACAGAAATGTCCTCCTCTCTTCCGTGTCGTTGAGGCCCCATTGGTGCAGGTGTTCAAGGATAGGCTGGACATGCACATGGTGGGCATGTCGTGAGCGGAGCCGGCTAGTGCCGGAGGTCAGACTAGATGGCCTGGGAGACCCCTTCTGACTCGCTCTGTTTCTATGTGTTATCCTCACAACAACCCTGTGAGGTAGGGTGGGCTGAGAGTCTGTGACTGGCCCAAAGCTACCCAGTTATCTCCATGGCTGAGTGGGGACCAGAACCCAGATCTCCTGTCCCAGACCCACACCCTTAACCCCTACCCCAAACGGTTTCTCTTTTTAATTTCTCTTTCAGTGTCTTCTAAGATAACAGCTGTGCCATCTAAGATAAAGCCATCGGCAAAGGTGATAAAAGAATTTCCACACACACAGCTTCCTACAAATCATTCCTAAAAGTTTTGAACAGTACAGGGCACAAGACTGAGCTGTGTGTCTGATACTTCGCTCCAGATTGGTAAGAAAATATGGACAAGCGCCCAGAGAGCTGGTTTTCCAAACCAACTACCCTCTTGCTCCGAAAATAAGCCCTAACTGGAAAATAAGCTCTAGCATGAGTTTTGAGGATACTCGTAATATAAGCCCTCCCCCAAAATAAGCCCCAGTTAAGATCGCCAGCCGGATGGACGCATTTAATACGTCCGTTGCACCACAATTTGGGTTTGGAGAGTTATGACTATGTTCCAGAAGATGACATGACTGTATTGGAATAAATGTAGATTTTTGTACATGAATAAATGTAGATTGTTGTACATGAAAAGACAAGACAGCACCTGAAGCCCTAATGCATCTTTTGGAGCAAAAATTAATAGAAGACCCAGTCTTATTTTTGGGGAAATACGGTAATAGTAAAACCACCCATCCCTCTTACTAATCATGGGGTACATCATCAAATGCCCCGATAAAATCAAAATATGCAACCTTTTTAAGGCAGTTTACACCCCAAATCCCCACACAACACGTTTGCAGAAATACAAAATCAATCCTTATAACCAACCTCAGCATCCAAACCTAAAAAAGAAAATATTAAAAAGCAGCCGTTTTAAAAAATCCATGTATTTATTAGATATTGAGTAATATTTTCAGTCATTTAATTAGCACAAATCTAAAAGAGATTTTATTTTAAAAAAAGAAAAAACTATTTACCCATAGGACTTCATGGTATCACGGAGTTCAAATCTACTCTAGTCCCGAGAAGAATGCTGGATATCTCGATGCTCAAACGCAATTTATTTACATTTTTAAGAACTGCCTGAATAGTGACCGATATTGGATAGAATTGTTGAAATGCCAGCAAATCATCTTACTCCAAAACAAAAAATAACTCCGTTGGGGTACTTCAAGGAACGGAATGCACTCGAGGAAAACAGTTCATACCTATTCTATTGCTTATATCAGAAATTTGCATTGCCTCTGGTTGGAAGTCTGCTCAAAGCACATAGTAATCCGGTTAAGAAACTTCAGGGAAGATCCTTTTTCAATTAATTGCAATTATTTCCCAAAGAATTAGTGACAACTACAAGCAATGGATACAAAAAATGGTAGCTTTTCGTAAGTTTTTGGAATGCTTAGGATCACCCCTCCCCCAAGAGGGGGAATATGGGCCAACTGGGGGAATTCATGGTTTTGTGTTTTTTAAATCAAGATCTACCAGACAATCAAATAGTTTGTCTATTTTGTCAGTTTCCATCATCCCTCTCTGTCCTCCTCATGCTGACACAGATCCCATCAGCCACTGTGCTTGATTCAATCCCAAGGTGCATTGCCCCCTGCTTCTTCCTCATTGGTCCACACATAGAGGGTGGATGGCTGGAATGCTTCCTGCAGTTGATGCTCTTTCCAGAGGACTTTGTGGTAGCTGCATATCGGAACCACGAAAACCACGATCCTGGGTTCAGACGACACAATAAGCCATGGTGGTACAAACCATAGAACAAGCCATTGTTTCTTATCGTGGTTTCTAAAGACCAAACTTTGCATGAAGAAATACGACTGGATTCCGACAGCACAACAGACCAACAATGGCAAAAATCTGCCATGGGTTGTGGTGTCTGAACCCAGCCACGTTGTCGGAAGAAGGGCTAACAAGGGTGTCGTTATTGGCTGTTCCATTTTTGGGTTCTCTTTGCGGGTTTGGCAGTAGCCCTGTCAGCTCGCCCTCGGGTCCCAAGTTGCCGCTCTTCAGTGCCAGGTGGGTGCAGAGCAAAATTTCTCCTATTCATCATCTGATGACGGATGTGGCAGCCCATCTGGCACGCCGAACTGTGACCAGGGAGGGCAAACAGGGAGGAGTTAGAGCCTCCCAAGTCGAGTGCACCAGGGTAGACTTGAAGGCTGGGAGGCTATTGCTCTGGGTCGGAGGGTTCAATTCATCTCCACAGGCTCCCCAACCATCTGATGTCCCATGTGAAGAGCCTGCATCTTGCGTTGGGCCGGTGGGGCAGACTGGGGATTGTGTTGGGGGGGGGGCACCCACCCCACCGTCCAAGAGTCTTCCCATCCGAGCTGACGGAGGTGGTCTCAGATACAATACTGAGGTTCCCCAAGCTGATGGTTTTGAGGGACATCAACATTCAGGCTGAGGGCACCTCGTCTGGGGTTTTCACAGCCTCCTGGGATTGCCCCAACGGGTCTTTGGCCCAGCACACATAGCGGGCCATGCCTAGACTTGGTTTTCCTCAGCTGGACGTGGGGATGGTGACCTGAATGTGAGGAACTTCAGTCATCGCTGGATCACTGCCTTCTCAGTGTTAGACCGATGGCAGCCTTTCCCCTCTGTCTGGGGAAAACCCTTCGAAGACAGTCCAGTCTCTGGAGGCTAACAGATTTCTAGAAGCCCAATAAAGCCGGCAGTCTTTTTAAAACCCTGGTCACTCTCCGGAACACAGCGACGATCTGGGCAGGAGCGATCACGCAGACTGTAGTTTCCACACAGCTCTGAACTCTCAGCAGCTTCTGGTCCCATAGATCTTGGTATCCTTCTGGGGTGCTTCCAATTCCACTTGGAGGGTCATCTCCAGAAGGGGGTGCTTGGGGAATATTGCTTAGTCCCGTGGGCTCTCCAGTGTGGAGTTCCTCAGGGGTCTGCTCTGTCCCCCATGCTATTCAACATCTACATGAAACTTCTGAGTGGGGTCATCTGGAATTTTGGAGCACCTTGCCCTCAGTACGCTGTTGACACCCAGCTCCATCGCTCCTTTCCAGGGTCACCAGGTGAGGCTGAGGATGTGCTGAACTGGTGCCTGGCTACAACAATAGACTGGATGAGGGACAACAAACTGAAGCTCAGTCAGGGAAGACGGAGATGCTGCTGGGGGTGGTTCCCTTGACGGGGTGGCAGGTGCCCAATCCGTTCCAGATGGAACTGCACTCCCGAAGGAGTGGGTGCTTCAGGATACACCTTGATCCATCTTTGTCTCTTGAAGCTCAGGAGGCCTCAACAGAGTATCTTGTTCAAGCTTCAGCTGGTAGCCCAACTACACCTCTTCCTGGACAGGGATAGCCTAGCTTCAGTAATCCATGTTCTGGTACTCTCTGGATTATTACAATACTTTACATGGGGTTTCCACTGAAGATTGTTCAGAAGCTGCAGCTGGTGCCAAATGCAGCAGCCAAATTAATAACTGGGAGCAGAAGATCTGAACAATTCTGACCCACTTGCTCTGGCTGCCTATATGCTTCCAGGTCAAATTCAAAGTGCTTGTTTTAACCCACAAGGTCCTACATGGCTTGGGACTGCAATACCTGATGGAACGCCTCTCCCAACCTTCATCTGCCTGGATACTACAATCAGGTTCTGGGACCTTCCTCCCACCGCCACTTCCAAAGGAGGTTTGGATGGTGGTACCATGAAGAACCTTTTCAGTGGTGAAAAGCACCTGACTTCAGTCTACCCAATCTGAGCTCTGCATCTTAGATCTTCTTCCAATTGCTACCTCCAAAGGAGGTCTGGAAAGAGGGGGGCCTTCTAAGTGGTAACCCCCAAACTATGGAAGTTTTTCCTCATGAAGCCTTTCCTAATGCCAAAAGTCAACTTTCTGGTAGCAAATTAAAACTGCTCTTTACCCCCAAGTACTTAATGGGATCGTCAGCTTTTTTAAACAGGTCTACTGTATACTGAACTTCTACAGATGTTTAAACTATTTTAAATTTTGTATATTGGAATTTTACACCATGTTTCATTGAGTTTGTGTTTGATTGCATCAGCTCTTATCATTCTACTTTGATAAATGGTTGTGAACCACCTGGGCAGCTACTGGTTAGTATGAAATTAATGGTAATCATGAAACAAATTCAAAATGATTTTTTTCAGGTTGAATTATCATCCTTTTGTAAGATTATTTCTCCAAACATTAATGTCTGGCTTTGTTCAATAGTGTTTATACTATGCTGTTATCTTTTAAAGGCTGGCCAATCTCAAATTGATCAGGTAAAAATGAACCACATCTTTAAACTAAATAATGATGGGGGATAATTAAACTTCCCAGGGGAGGTAGTTCCCCAGTTTTTGAGCCTGAGAAAGTCTTTTCTCTTGTTCCCACCAACTTGCCAGCTTGCTGGCAGGTTTGTGAGCAGGACTTCAGAGGCAACCTTAAGGACTGAGGAGGTCCACATGGGTATTTGTCAGTTCTTCAAATACATACTCCCAAGTGGATTCTTCAGTATGAAATCTGGGTTGTATTGTGACTGAACTTCATCCCACACGCCAAGCATGTCTATGGCTCCTGCCATGTCTGAGTTACCTGATGAGGACTGAGGTTTATGTCCTGGTTGAAACTCTTTCCACATTCCAAGTAATTATATTGTTTATCCCCTGTGTGAATTGCTTGATGAGAGATCAGGTTTATATTCATGTGGAAACTGTTCTCACATGCCAACCATTGGTATGGTTTCTCTCCTGTGTGGGTTCGTTGATGCCTGCTGAGGTTTGTGCCGACACTGAAGCTCTTTCCACATTCCAGGCACTCATAGGGTTTTTCCCTTGTGTGCGTTCTTTGATGATAACTAAGGTGTGTAATTAAACTAAATCTTTTTCCACATACCAGGCACGTATATGGTTTCTCTCCTGTGTGTATTCTTTGGTGAGAAGTGAGGTTTGTACACACATTGAAGCTCTTTCCGCACTCCAAGCATTTATAGGGTTTTTCCCCTGTGTGAATTCTTTGATGTCTGCTGAGATTTGTGCTTACATTAAAGCTTTTTCCACACTCTGCACATTTGTATGGTTTCTCCCCTGTGTGAATTCTTTTATGTCTACTGAGGTTTCGGCTCACATTGAAACTTTTTCCACATTCCTGACATTCATAAGGTTTCTCCCCTGTGTGAATTCTTTGATGAGAAGTGAGGTGAGTGCTCACACTGAAGCTCTTGCCACACTCCAAGCATTTATATGGTTTCTCCCCTGTGTGAATTCTCTGATGATCACTGAGGCTGGTGCTTCTATTGAAGCTCTTTCCACACTCTGCACATTTATATGGTTTTTCTCCTGTGTGAATTCTCTGATGCGAAATGAGGCTTGAGCTTACACTGTAGCTTTTTCCACACTGTAAACATTTAAACAGTTTTTCCCCTGGATGGAGTTTTGAATGAGCTCTAAGGCTTGCCTTAGAATCAAAGATTTTGTTACACACACAGCATTTACTTCTTTCCTTTCTTTTATCTATTTTCCCCTGGGCAGTCGTTTCATGAAAGTCATTGTCCTGAGAAGTGAGGGATTTATGCATCTTCTTCTGGACAGTTTCACTTTTTACTTTCTCCTGTTTTTGCTTTTTACATCCATCTCTTTTAGAGGGCTTCCCAACGTCTCCATTAGCTTCAGTTTCACCACAACATGCTACAATGAACATAGAAAATGGTTATTGGAAAAAGTTAGAAAGTGAGGTAGAAATTAACTCATCACAAATCATTAATCATCCTGAGTTAAGAATTATGATTAAAGAAAGATGGGAAGAGATAGTTTAAGTTTTTTCTTACATTTTGTATTGTTAAACCGTCCCAAGACTTTGGTAATGGGACGATCTACAAAAGTTTTAAATAAATAAATAAAATATTCTCAGGGAGGCAGATCCACTGTCAACTGGTATTATCCAACTGCTAGTACAGTACAAGAATTCCCCTACATACGAACAAGTTCCATCCCGAGAGCATGTTCGTAAGTCTAACAAAGTTAGCCTAGGTACCCAACTGACACAACTGGCTATATAGTACCGTACTTCCATGGACGTCACTGGAGGACTTCTGGAAGTGTGGAAGTGTACCCATGTTGTTTGTCTCATGGGTTCTTCCTCATATAGCATTACTGCTAGGTTGGTGCAACCTGCATTACGCTTTGCTGGCAAAGCACACAAACACACCTCTTTGGAAGTTTGCAACTTGAAAGTTCATATGTAGAGGACTTCCTGTACCTGGATTCAGCTTTTGCTGAGACACAAGGCTTTGTACTACTCATCCTTATGGGATGGGTAACAAAATTAGTAATTAAGGACACAATGCAATGCCCTCTGCCCTCAATGCACAACCCCGCCCCCCCAAACTCAAAGGGCTAGGTGCATCCAGTGCCACCATGACACTTTGTTTCTGGCCTCCCTGACCCCAATGGGGGAAGGAAGGAAGCCAACGGGAATTGGCTCCTCCGTGGCATGTCCTTTTGGTTCTTTCTGTGTGGGCACAGGAGGTAGGAGAGGCTTGGCCTTCAGCAGCCCACCTCCAAGACGATGTCAGGAGCACGCAGGATTGGGCTATCAAGCCTTCCAAGCCCACTGCAGACTCAGAGCATCTTGGACTGCCGGACTTTTGGCTTGATGGCCACGAACTGATTCATGCCCAGGCCGTCAACACGAATACAGCCAGGAAAGCAGGAAAAAAGCCTCCGAAATTAATGGTGGTCCACCGGCATCCTTCCTGCTTTCCAGACCAGTTACAGTTGGGTCAGTGAAGTCTGCGTAAGAACATAAGAAAAGTCCCACTGGATCAGATTGAGGGTCCATCTTATCCTGAATTCTGCTCCCACAATCAAACACCCACAGGATCCCCTGAGCAGGACCAGGGTGCAACGCACCCTCCTGTTCATGCTTCCTAGCAGCAGATGCACAGAAACATGTGCCAGGAGTCGCATCTGGAAGAACCTTACAGAAGCCGGCTCATCCGAGGGATCTTCAGGAACCCAGTGCGCCGCTTTGCCCTGTTCTTGGTAGATAAGAATCACTCCAACTTGGCTGCCTCGTTTGTTGCAGAAAATGATCAGGGTGGGGCTGTGAACCCATTTATAGGTAATGGTGGCAAATCATGGGTTAGTCAGCCCACGATGTGCTGGAAGCATGCTGTTACCTTTCAAAAAACACAGCTTTGGATCAGAGGAAGTCTGAACATGGACAGGATGGATTAAATCATGGATTAAACAACCCACGGTTTGCCTGACAACCAAGCATGTTAAGTGTCTGGACTCACATCTCACAGAGTAACAGAGCCAGTGTGGTGTAGTGGTTAAGAGCATGGGACTGGGACTCAGAGGATCTGGGTTCAAGTCCCTGCTCGGCCATGGAGCCAACTGGGTGACTGTGGGCCAGTCACAGACTCTCAGCCCGACCAACCTCACAGGGTTGTTGTTGTGGGGATGAGATGGAGGAGGAGAGATGATGTAAGCTGCCTTGAGCCCTTTGTAGGAAAAAGGCAGGATATAAATCACAATATAAATAAATATCAATCTAACTGGAAACGGCATGTTGACAATGGCCAGCCGTGTGCTGCAGTGTATTTTATTATTTATCAATTTCTATCCTGCCTTTTTCCTACAAAGGGCTCCACGCAGCTTACATCATTCTCCTCCTCCATCTTATCCCCACAACCACCCTGTGAGGGAGGTTGGGCTGAGCGTCTGTGACTGGCCCAAAGTCACCCACCTTAGTTATGCAAACCAGGTCCCTGGCTTTGCATTCCAGAGGCACCTAAGGGCCTCCTTCGCCCACGAGCTTTCCAACCCATGAACATCTTCCCTATCGCTCATCTGCAGCATCAATTACTGGGGATATGTGGGAAAGCACGTTCCCCGCAGCAGCTCCGGTGCCGTGCAATTCCCTCCTCGGGCCATGTGATCCAAGCTTCCCTCCTCTCTGTTGCCCTTTAGACTATAAGGTACGGGCTCTGCTGTTCCACTGAGCACCTGGGAGTCCAGGGCCATTTCAAGGTGCTCACATTAACATATAAAGCCAGAAACAGCTTAGGACCTGGATAGCTTAAGGAACGCCTCCTTCCATATACACCTACCCAGACCCTAAAATCACCAATGGAGGTCCTTCTTGGAAAGCCACCTGTAAGAGGAATTAAGAAAGCTGGCTATGATGGGAAGGGCCTTTTCGGTACTGGCACCCCATTTACAGAACTGACTCCCAAGGGAGCTGTGCCTGGTGCCAACTCTTTATACATTTTGGTACCAGGTCAAAATTTTTTTATTCTCCCATCATTTTAATTGCTGATTAGAGGTTCTGTTTTTATTTATTTATTTATTTATTTATTTATTATTAAAACATTTTTATGCTGCCCCATTCGCCAAAGCCTCGGGGTGGCTTACAACTGGTTTTTATTTAATGAATGATTGGTTGCTCTGGTCTAATACATTATGTATTATTTTCTTGTTAATTTTTGTATTTGGATATGAATTCATGGAAGATATGCTTTTAATTATTTGTATACCATTTGGAGAGTATATGCTGAAGAGAATGGTCTATAAAAACTGATGATTATCTATTATTACTACTAATACTACAATTATCATTATTATTATTATTATTATTATTATTATTATTATTATTATTATTATTATAAAATCCTGGCTGTCTTCCTCCATATTTATAGCCGTTCCCAATGTTTCCTGAGGTTTTAATTAGCTGACGCTGATGATTATATCATTTGTCTGAAGATGCTCTCATTTTAAAAGTTCATTATGGTTTATCACCATTGTGAAGCTCTTTATGGATATATATTTTTAATGTGGAAAGATGTAAATGTTTTTGTCTATTCTCTCATTCTCCCTCTCTCCCCCCTCCCCAAAATATACACAGATAAATGTACAGACTAGAAGAAGAGGAGTTGAACTGTGCAAAAATGTGAACTTTTTAATTGATTATGTAAAAAAAAAAAAAAAAAAGCAGCCAGGAAAGAGTGTACCTTACCGACAGAAGCCACAATTCCACAATTCTCTTCCATGATTTCCCTGTGCAGAACTTTCTGGTGGGGCTGACAGCTCACACCTCCTCAGGGATAGACAAAGGTACCTCCTTAAAGGTCACTGCAGCCTGTATGAAAAAGAAAACGTTTCCTCATCAGAGGTAAGATCTGGATTCACACAATAATCCAGGGCTGATGGGAACACAACAGCTTGTGCCTGGGGCCTGATTTCTTTTCTCCTGTTGCAGATAAGAGCACCAAAACAGAAACCCTGACATGCAAACCAGGAATCATGACTTGTGGCCAGAGACACAAGCCAGCATTGGAATGGCAAGTTAAATCCTAGATTCCAATGCTGGCTTGTTTCTCCCAGTCCTTATACAAACTACAGTTCCTGGTTCTTATGCCATGAAAAACAACCCAAAGAAGGAGCAGGCTATTCTATCGACAACAACCCAGGGTTTAAAACAAAGCAACACCTGTGTAGTTGTATGATGCAAACTGGACCACAGAAGGAGGTTACGGATGGGCAGGGGAGCTGAAAAGCTCTTGACTTAGTCCGCTCTAGTTTTGTATCTTTTTTTGCTTTGTTTTTATGTTGTTTGTTCTGTTTGTGCTTGTTGTGGTCTCAATTTAGTATTTATCCATTTTGGTTTTGGTTTGTTCTTTTTGTTGTTTTCTTGGTCCAGCCGAGAACTTTCCAGCCCTGCCCCAGCAGAATCCGAAATACAAGCTGAGGTGAGATTCCTTGTAGGTTTAGGGTTTTCTTTTCTTTTTTTAACCAAGAGACTGGGCTGCACAGCAAAGCACCAGCCCTTAGATATACTGAATTTCCCCTGAATGCTTCTGAGCCTGGATGCAAGCGAAAAGGAGCAAGAAAGAGAGGTAGCTTGATGAAAATGTCGGTCCAGGGGCTGTGAAAAATGTAAATTCCATGCCAAGCATCATTAGGAAGGGAAGAGAAAGTAGAACTGCCAAGATCTTGGTTCCCTCATACAAATCTTTGGCAAGATCCACACTTAGGTCATAGTGTTCCGTTCTGTTCACCTTACGTGAAAATGGACACTAGTGAGCTGGAAAAGACACAGAGGAGGGGAATTAAAGCGATCAGGGGGTTGGAAAACGAGTGGGACTGTTTAGCTTAGAAAAAAGAGGAAGGGAGACATGATAGAGGTGTTTAAAAGGATGCTTGGTGTGGAGAAAGTGGAGAGGGAGACCCAAACCCAAAGGCTGATGGATGGGAAATTCCAAACTGATTAAAGGATGAACTTCTTTACTGGAAGAAGTTTTTCTAAGCTGAACGGTTCCACAGAGCAGCTGCTCCAGCCCCTTGATTTCTTTTTCTTTTTGCCTTTCTCTATACTTTTTTTTTGGTCCTTCTCTATACTTTTTCCAACTCAAAAGCTTGGGCTCAAAAAAGACAGAAAAAGCCCCACAAGTCCCAGTGTGCCTGGCTGGGGGATGATGGGAACTGTAGG